ACTCAAAACAATTTTGGGGTCTATAAATTCATAAGTGACAAGGCAGACGATGGTTTGATAGATCACAATGTAATATATTAATAGCACAATGGCATGCATTCATTGATATACATCCAATATCCCAGATGCAGGCATTGTAGCTTGGACACGTGAGCATTCACCTCAGTTTCACAATAAATCATTCATCCTCTTATGTTTTAATAGACATGCTATGATGTAGTTGAGGTTTTGTTCAAAGCAGTTCTATAAGACACGAGACTCAAGGTAATACCTTTATATTTATTTTATGGGCTCTTGTTTTGGTTTGTTTACAATTATCAGTGCTGCTCTGGCTTCTCTAGAGAGCTTTTTTTCTGAAGCAGGTGCATTTTCAGCCCATGTAATGGATTTACAGATATTTGGTCATAAATAGATAGTGTTAAACACTGTTGTAAAAATGAGATAAATGTTTATTACCCAAAAGGTTAATAAAAAAATCCACCTGGGACAGTCTAGAGAAGAATTAATCCCTCTAAGCCTGTACTGAACCAGTGACAGTTGTGCAAGATTCACAAGCAAATTGCATCCCTAAAACATCCTAAAAGCAGGAAAAAAAGAATCCCAGACTGCACACCACACTAAATGGAATTACATTCATGAGATAGGTACCATTTATTATCCAATTTAAGCACTTAGTAGTGGCATCTGCTTACAAATAACCACTTCCAGCATTAGGCAAGTCCCATGTTAGGTCAGTGCTCCCTCTCAACTTTACTATCAAACAGTATGATTTTATCAGAGTAACAGAATAATCTCAGCTGAAAAAGACTGAGTTCTGAAATAGTCAACAAATAGTGCAAAATGTCAGTAGGAAGAGGTAAGGGCATTTACCAGGCACAAGACACAATGTATATGCAATATTTTCACACCTAACTTTAATAAATTGCATGCACTTGACATTCTTTCTCTCTTTACACCTTGCTGCTGAATACAGAAGTGACATGTAGTAGCCAAGATGGAAAGAATAATATTTCCAGAGATGATGATATAACTATGAGCCCTGACAGTTACCCATAACAAAGTGAACCTAGTATGATCTTTATACAGATCACACAGTCCTTTAACATGAACCTTTATCCAGCCACTTTTTCCTTAGGGGCAGGCAGAATTTAGGTTTTCCCAAAATGAATTTCCTAGCGGTTTCCCAATGTTTTCAAGCCTCCTCTTTCCCCATTTCCACTCATACTTCACTTCTGCTAGCTACAAGTCTACTTTTTGCCAAGCAATAGAATGGGTAGCAAAAGCTCTATTCCTGCTAGATGCGATTAGTGGAATTAAGAGGCTTTTGGCCCTCTACATTTTAAACAACCTGGCTGTCATCTCCCCCTTCTGGCTGGCTGCTGGAATGATACAATAAGTGCTTCCTCAAAGGAATACAGCCACTAGGGCTGGTGGACTTAGTATAACTAAGATAGGTAGACGATTTCTGCACCATTTGGCAGCTGAAGCCCCATACACTCTACTCTGGTGGATTTAGGGTAACTAAGATAGATAGACAATTTCTGCACCATTTGGCAGCTGAAGCCCTCTCTACTCTCACTCTCCCTATTTTTCCAAATGGCCGATGGATTCTGTCTGGATGAGAACTGTCTTCTTCAAGAAAGGATGAAGAGTGTGTAATAATCATAATTTATCCAAATGACTACTTGAAGCATACACTAGAGATGAACCCAAGTTAAAAGATGAAGATGCTGAGATCTGAACTTTTTAGGGCTGCAAGCGTGCTGTTGGAAGCGGGTAGTTACTTATCTCGACAACCGAAGAAATCTGAACTATATCTCAACAACAGGCATGTAAGCTGCATATTTTAGCTCCTGAAGTTTTCAAACAGACAAGGCTCGTTTGCATCTTCAATGTATTTTGGTGAGAAAAATAATTGCATATTATCAAAAGATAAGTTTCTGCACTCTGAAACTACGCATGGGGCATAGATCATACAACTCACTAGTTGTGAGTTGTAAGAGACCTTTTGCCAGTTAAACACAGATCTACTTTCCAACTCATAGATAGGAAGTTACAGGAGCATTTACACAGTTGTATTTACTTTTTAAAAAGTTGGTTATAGGATATAGGGATTGCAGGCTCTAAATCCATAGTAGGTGCTACAGCCTTTGGTATATCATTTTGCTTCCATTCCCCATTGTATATAAATCATGCGGATGGCAATGCCTCTTTGTAAAGATGTGACAAAAATGACACCCTGTGAGGCAGGATTTCACAATTAAAATGTTTGAGCAAAGCTTTGAAACAAGTTTTGGCCAGTTGCTATTGTATCTTTTTTCAGATCACTGTTTTCAAACTCTGGGTTTATACCTAATTTCCCCAGAAGTCATATACTTACTTTATGCTGTCTTTCTTCTTCCATTTATTGTCAGTGATACCTTTCCCAGCACTACAACAGTTTTGTGAAATGTGCCCCCCTATCTTCTAAATACTACTAAAACCCTACAACAGGTTTTTCTTTTGCTAGATAAAAAAAATATTTTCAGATATAACTGTTCCTTTAGGCATACCTTTAGCAGCATAAGGGAATTTTGAACTTCCAGTTTCTTTTATACTACAAGAATGTTTGCTACAAATATATCCTGACATTAAAGTATCACAGCATTTATGCCAAATGCTTCAATCCCCCCCAACTTCATGATATTTTAAGCTAGTGCATAGCTTCAATTCACCCCTCCTTTGTGTATCCCCACGTTTGGAGTCCCAGGCTGAGGAATAGCCTAACTCCATCCCAAGATTGACAAGTTATTAATTAGGACAGCAGGCCTGTCACAACCTCTAAGCCTCACCAGCAGTTCAGCTAGTTCCTTGGAGAAATGCATTGTCACCTACTATTGGGATTAAGTTTCTTGCTTCCAGAATACAAGCCTCAGTCATGGCAGTAGATTGAAAGTGACTATTAGTGTTTTTGCAGCCCCTTGGCCTGCATCTGTTCCTTTTAGATTTTACTTTTTGATGATGTCTCAACCCACTGAAAACAATGGGAGTTTTGCCACTGATTTCACTGGGGCCAGAATTTCACCCTACATATTCTATGAAGAGAAAGAATTTAATTAACAAAGTAGATTATAAAGTACAGTGGAAAAAAAAAAACAAACACCAGCCCTAAAATATCCTCAGTTGTCTCCATAATGGAGATAGTCACTTAGATAATTTAGGGCAGGACCTAATCTACATAATCTTGCCATACTGGCTGAGAAAGTAGCATCCAATGCTGCAAACTCTGATAAACTAGTAGTGAATCCTGGGTGGAGGAGAATGCTCAAAGCACTTGGAAATAACCCACCAGTTAACAATGCTGTTGGACTCCAACAGAGCAAAGGAAAGCTTTTACAAAGGGTGACATTCTTGGGTCTCCTGGTAAATTGAACTCTTGCCTTGACACAAGTACACTTGGAGAGCACACAGGATTTGGACTCAGCACAACTGCATGTTTTCATATTACTACTTGCATTTCATTACCCAGTAGTTTCTAATGGGGCCATTAGCATACAATGATGGCTATTGCACGTAGCAGAAGCTGAACTCTGGTCTGTGAGGAGAAGCTCCAGGTTCTATTTAAGAGTTTTCAGTTGCACTACTTTTACCTTCCACCACTCCACTAAGGCATTAGAATATATATATATATATATATATGCATATAAAAATGTCAGGACAAAAAGAAAAGACAGTTTTCAGAAAAATACACATGCTAGAGCCTCAATGACAGAATTATTGCCCATTTGAAACATTCATATTTACTATCACGTACGCTGAAGAATAACCACAGTGCTAAGATATTAGTGGTTTTGCAGCTCTACTAATTCAGAGACAGCTGCTATTGTTGGATTAGACTCGCAAGAAAAGCTCCAGCCAATACCATGTAGGTCACCATGTGGGGTTCTAGCACTTGCCACACTGCAAAAGTATTATTTAAGACCAACTTTTGTGGAGGAGCCAAGGGTTCACTGTAGCATCTGGGTGTGCTGGTTTCTAGTTCATTGCTCAGAGGAAAATACATGGTTTCAAGACAGAAAATACAAAGGGATTTGTAGACTGATTCTTGTACAATGCAGAGCAATGTCCACTCTCAGATTTTTGTCTCCTGTGTGTATATAAAAGCCATCAATGTATAGCTTTACAGCCACCACTTTCAAAACACTCATAGGCCTGTAGACACAATGTAGAATTAACACAAATACAGTACACAGAAAAGCAGCACCACTGAGAATGCATATCCAATTGTACCCCAGCCTGTATAATACCAATTTTCACAGTAAAGTTACAGTCAGTCATAATAATTAAAAGAAATCCCACCTTTTCCTTCCTACCATTTTCTAGTCAGCCTTTTTCAAAGCACCTTTAAATTAATACAGTTTATCTGCTGGTTTTGAGTATGAAATGACTTAAAGTAAGTTTCCAGTGAGAAAGAGTGAACATTGCAGATTCACGCATGACCAACATAACATACACTGGCCATCACACCTATTAACTATGATCTCTTGGGCTGCTCATGTACAGAGACTACACGAAAGCAGTTTTCCATTCGCAGAAGAGTTCAAGTCTAGGTCATTTTGATAACAGACATGAAGGAAAAGTAGTTGTGTTCATGGCTGTGCTGGAAAAACAGAACTCCAGCTTCAACTAGTCTGGATCCATGAGAACGGCAAGCTTTAATTAACACTTTGCTATTCTTTATACACTGCAAGGCACGCAGAGATGTTAACCCACACTAATGCAATCCAACAAACCAAGCAATCATATCACAACTGAGGATACATATGACTCCAACTTAAATGTAAAAAAAACCCAGAGTAACTAAACCACAATTAACAACCAACAGCATTACTAAAAGCTACAGAAACACTCAGAGAAGAATCTTTCCTGAGAAGCACACAAAAACCAACCGTCACCATTTTCTTTCAATTTCCCCATCAAACTTCACATTTAGTGCATAGGCAAGAATAACTTGTTCCTACCTATCCCATCCGCAGTCCAGCCTCTGCTGAGAGGGTGACACAAAACTCTCCTTCATTCTACACCATCAGAACAAAAGCTGTTCTGCTACTGACATGAGGCCCTCAGAAAAACATGGCCTCATCCACGGGCCTTAAAAAGGCACACCTGGGTAACATTGGGCTCATCAGGCCTTCACCTGCAGGAGCTGTATTCCTAATTATGCTGTGTACAAAAGAGTGAGCTCAAAACAGCTTTCAGGTTAGCAAACTCATCAGATGCAGAGACTCAGGTTGTCCTCATAAGCATGAAATGGCAAAATGCCCTTTTCTTTTAACAGAGTCATTTTCCAGGATGGATTTATATTCTGCAGTGTTCACAAGGCCTGTGTTTTCACAGCATTTGAGGCAAACAAAATGCTCTTGATGAGATACCAGCTCTTTCTGTGTGCAGAATATGGCATTAAATTTATAGAGCGAAGGAAGAAATGGTTTACTTGCCTTGAGGGGAATTGAAAAGTGACAGTAGGCACTTAACAGCAAGTTCCAATTACAGCATTTAAATATAATTGCATACTATGTTAATCTATGTCAGGGTGGCATCATTTTAATATGATTGTCACAGATTCTTTCTAATATTATGAGTGATGTGGGTGAAGCTGAGCCTACTGAAAAAGTTCAGTTCCAGGTTTTAATATACACTTTAATTCTGTCTGTCAATTATGCTACAGCAGAGTTCAAATAAAGGTCTGGGGATATAGAGGATGTAGCTACCTTTATTAAAGTACTTCTACTGTAAATAGATGTATGGGTCAGGAGACAGTTATCATTTGGTCTTGTTATTTTTTATGAGCCTACTACTATTAGAATAGACTCTAGTGTATAAGGATTTAGATGTGTCATGGAATGTTACTTCAAATGGAAACTGTAAAGTGAAATAACAAAATTGAAGCTTGACCTCTGCAAAAATGTTCATTTATGAACTCCCATTTGTACATTACATAGAGTATTACAGGGGAAAAGTATAATCCAAGGATCCAAAAGCATTTTGTATATCCTTTATGAACTCCAGAGTCCTAATTAGATAATGGAAACTTAAGCACACAAAGAATGGAGGTTCATGTGTAGAACTTCAAACTTAACATAGGCATTACTCTTATGGTAATGGTAAAATGTGTGTCAGACTGTTTCTTTGGTGTAAAGATCAACTGAAGGTTTTCCTGCCTCCCTACTCCACTACGTCTAGGCTCTCACATTGGGATTTATTACCTTCAAAGCTGTGCTAGTGAAACTGATTGTATGGCTGCATTTTGAACTTAACTAGAACTTATCTGTGTTAAAAAAAAACACAACCACTTTTGAAGGATTCTTTAGTACAAGTCAGCTCATCGATCTGGTTTAGAAAGCAGCCCACACAGTTGCATCAACTCGAATGTTACATTGCAACTCAGAGGCTGGAATGAATGATTATGGTAGAGAAGGAAGAGAAATTCTATCACAGAAAGGTATAAAGAACATTCCAAATTACTGTCTTTTGTTAGAGTGCTTGACATTTCTTTATACAGGCATAAACTTCTGATTATACACTTCATCAAATGCTGTCGATGTTTTGTGGGCAGTGTATAGAAACAGAATTTACTACAGCAGTGCAGCCACCTCCTTGGAGGAATCCATTAGGCTTATTGTAGCAACGACCATGGTCAGCCAACAAGATGTATCAGGAAGAAAGCCCCATACACTGGAAAGCAGAAGGTGAAATTACAAGACAGAAATTATCAAACCTTTCTTATTTTTGTGCAAATTGTCACTAGATTTTTAAACAAGTTTATATCTCATGTTAAAACATCACTGCCACCAACAAAGCTATCCCCTAGCACCATGCTGGCACTTGGGTTGCTGTAATCGTGCAGGAAGAGTGCCACTTAGTGAATCACTGGATTTTCCTTGGCTGTTTCCCATCCAACACTACAGGGCTTGGCTGTGTTTAACTCTCAGGATCAGGCAGGATCTCAGCCAAAGTTGCATGGCCACATATTCTCTTCACCCTCCGACCAGCTGCCATGTTAAAAACACAAGTTGCAAATGGCAAGACACATAATTCCTTAAATTTAAGATGCTATTTTCTACCATTTTATTGTCCTATTTAGTGTGTGAAAAATCGTTTCTGGCCAGTTACCTCTATTTATCAGCCACCCTATTTGCTCTCTAGTCATTTATGGGAATGGAATAATACTAAAGTAGATTTTCCTTCATGGAAAGAACCAAAAACTTTCAAAATATGAAGATTCTTCTACAATAGCCCTTGCTGAAGTGAAGGGTATCCTGGGGGCTATGGGAAAAGACAAATAAAGGAGATGTACATTTTAGAAAGCAGTGAAGCAAACAAATGATTGTCCTACGAGCTCTTCAACAACACGGCACAGAGCTACCATATGCTTCCTAGTGCTCCCCTAACTGCCAGCTGTCTCCACCTTGCTCCTTCCAAATGGCAGTGAGGGCAGCTGAATTGCCAAAATAGATGTTTTGACCTGCAGTTATAGACAGAGAAGAGGCTTGGAGTCAGTTGGATGAGTACATCAGCCATATGTAAGTAGAGCAAGGACAAAAGAGGGTCATATTGTTCCACTGCTGTCACACAAGGATAACTAGGGAAAAAGTACAGAGGCTTTTCTGTTAAACTAGCAGAAATCAAAACCAAGCCCAGATTTTGAGCAGTATTATACATTCATTTTACCTTTTCTTTGTAGAAGAGGCAAATGTTAACCAAAGTGCCAGCCAACAGAAAAGCAGATCTGCCCTTTGAATTCATGTCACAATCTGAATACCTATGAGCCAAAACCAAATGAGTTGTCAACAAATATTCAGGCTGGGGAATCATAGAATCCTAAAATGGTTTAAGTTATAAGGGGCATTAAAGCTCATCTAGTTCCAGCCTTGGGCAGGGACACCCTCCACTAGATCAAGTTGCTCAAAGCTCCATCCAACCTGGCCTATATATTACTGGAATCTATATTACAATCACCATATCATAATCTCTCAGAATGACCCAGTTACCTTTCCCCTATCTCCTCTTGTCCTCCTTTCACCACTTCTGGTCATGTCAATAAAGAACCATTATGATAATAAGTCTTGATAGTTTGAGCTCCATGGCCCACTGGGCCTCTATAAATGCTTGTACTTCTCAGTAGTGAGATGCACCCCAGTGAGTGGCACCCATTATACTGAAATGGCAAGTCCTCACCACCTTGGACTCAGAACTTGTACTGACACAGACCTCCTGACACAGGAGGAATGAGTGTGCTCGTGTGTGTGCTTCTAAACTTGAGGAGAATGTTGGATGAAAACCCTTAGAGGGCTTTCTCTCCTTAGAGGAGAAACTCCACCATTCTGCTAACTTACACTGATTGATTGCTCCCTGCTCCTGTCACATGGCTAAGGACAGTATAGAAACCCCTGAGAAACCTAATGTAAGATACCAGCATCATTAACATAGTTTTAATGGTTATTTTTTTCAGTGCGTTGTTATGGTGGTGTATCTGGTGATTTTTTACTATACCAGTTGGTATCCTAAAGCTTCCTTCTTATGAAACATTAAATTGGATAGGTTATGACTGCCTGATTTCAGTTATTCTCTAAGGCATGCATCTCCTGGGATATTTTACAAATGAAAGCTTTTAATAATGGAACACATAATAGGCAGGTGTGAGGCAGCATATCAGAATACATCCTTATCTCAGTTATAAACTGAAAGCTTGGGAGAAATGCTAATAAACTGTTAAAAGCCTTTAACTTAGTGTGGCTCTAATAAATTTTGTGTTGTTTGGATGTGAACTTAAAGATCATAAACCTCAAAAACTGATGAATTTGGGTCCATGACAGCCCTAAGACACTGAACACACCATAGGCCCTTGGAAAGGCAAAAGACAGTGAACTTACCCCAGTATCTTCCTGAGGATTTCAGGAGCAGCAGATCAAAGAGCACCAAGATTCACACGCTACAGCCAGGCCACCCACCAACTGGGCAAAACCAGACAGCAAAGTGTAGAAAATCTGCTTACTTTGCTTATAACTTAAACTGCCCTTCATACAGAAGCAACACTTGCTGAACCTGCCTCCTGAGGGCACAGGGTTTAGGGTATCTGTCTGCATCGTGTTTTTTAATACTTCTCAAATTTTAAACATACCTTAAACACAGCTAAGTTGTGCTTAAGGTAAAAATCAGTGTTTGTTTAGAAGAGAAAGATCCACTGAGTGAACCTATACCTACTCAAGGGAAACATTCATCACACAAGCTGTCAGTATTAGACCTCAGAGAATCTTGAAGATTGCTCCTTCCCAGCACCCAAAAATATTCAGTTTGCGCCAAAGACAGTTACCCTAACACATAAATTCAGAGAGATGTCCATCCTTCCTTAGCTCTAATTCCTACAGACTAGGTTGTTTCAACTCTCTGGTCTAGAGGCTACCCAAAGGCAGTTCTAGCAGCATGCCATAAACTTCAAGGAACAGTTCAGTAGTCATAGATCATGATGGCATTGACGGCTTGGCTTCGCGAGCGAAGATTTGGGAAGGGCTTTAACCACGCTTACTACAAGCACGATGACCAAGGGCATGTGGGATATGGCATCAGTGAATGTCTTCAGCCCTGGAATACAACCAGGAGCGAAGTGTAAGGCTGGATTGCTGACCTGACTCTTCACCAAATAGGGATTCTCTCTACCTAGAGTTTCTTTGCATTGCCAAATGGAACTGACTTTGTGCTTGATGTATTTGCTCTTTTATCTTTCAGAGCACTCCACACGTCCAGAAGCTCCTTGTTACAGAATGGTACAAACAGTGAATCAAGCTCAAGTAACTAAAGAAGATGGTACTTCCTGTGTAGGTACTGAACACAGACGCAGACACACTCATTATTTAAAACACCCCCCTTCTCATACCCATATGCTGTTGCTTTTTCCTAATGAGGCTTCTGCTTTGCAAGTGTCTCCGTCAGAACAGGAGATGCACAACAGCTGGTGAAACAGTACAAAGTCAGGGGAGAGCAGCTATTAGAGGAGTTAACTGGTGAAGCCTGGACACCACTAGGAGACATTTTCCATGTCACTGTGCATTCAGCATGGAATCTGTGTCATCACA